TTGAGAAACATTTTTAAAAGATAGAATTGTTTCCAGCCATGTAGAATTTCTATATAAAAGACTTTGAAAAAAATTCCTTTCAAAAATCTAAATAGAAATCAAATAAATTCTTACTTGACATATGTTTTGATGAAAATAACATTAAAAATTAAGATATTTTTTCAGTCACCTGCGGCGAAAAAAACTCCAAGACCATTGTTCTCGTGCCGTTCAATGTCATCACATCCTGGATGATGCCTTTGAAGTGAACTTGCGGCGCCTGTTCCTTCTCCATCTGCCTGCTATCGACGGCCTGGCGAATGTATCTAGACACTTGTGGTAATCCGACAAAGTAGAAAACGGTTACGTTCAAGTCTCTCGTGGCGCTGATCGTCTTCCGGAAGTGCTTGGTGCCGTTGATCTTCACTTCTAGGAGAGTAACGTTTCTTGTCACTTGAATGAGATGGTTGTTTTCGTCGTTGAGCCTCGCGCCGTCGACGTGTAGCCGTCAGTGATGTTGCCAAACTGGAAACTCACGCCCAAGTTTCCGTCCTTCAGCTACGCTCCTATGTACGTCCTGTCCTGAGGCTTCAGATCGTCCTGCGGATCCGTGCCCAGGTAAAATATGTCACCGTGGCCCTCCCGCGTGCGAATGAACATAGAGAAGTCAACGACTGAACAGTCTGTTTAGGCGTATCGCTAACCTTCACAGTCACATAGCCGTTCGTAATGTTCTCGTAGCCGAAGGTGGCAAAGGTCTTGTTGTACTGACAGGTGCGACCGAGATAAGGACGCTCGCACTTGCATTTGAATTCGCGCCAATTGTCGGTGCAGTGACCGCCGTTCTCGCAGGGATTTGGTGAGCATTGAGCCTCGCGGGGACAGCCTGATTCTACGTCCTCCATATATACGGTCTTCAACGTAGTACAAGAATAATCCTAAAATCCGCATGGAGATGTAAAAAATTGTTCTAGAAAACTCATTTCTGAAAATTTCTTACAAATTGTCAACACTTTCTACTTGATAATTTATAAATAAAGATTTCAATATCTACAAAATTAAAAACTATTTTTCACAAACTTTCACTCGGAAGAAAATAAAATTATGTTAACAACTACACAAGTTACGTGGTTAATTAACGTATTTCTAAAGAAATATGATTCATTAAATAAATCGAAATTAAAAGCAGGTCAACATACCCATTCGCCGTTAATAATGATATCTTCCATGCAGCAAATGAAGACGGTGAAAATGGGTAAAGATAACCTTTTCAGGAAGTTTAAAGAGCTGTAGCTGCCGTCTACGTAAGTCGTAAAAAAAAACGTATAATTCGACGAATTGGAGCTTTCGTTAGGACTGATAGGATAGATAGTCTGCTTATTGTTGGCCGAGAGGACAAGATGAGTTGCGTTGATCGCCACAAAAGCCTTTTGCCACGTGGCATCGTTGAGTCAGCCACCGACGAAAACTCCGTCCATTTGTTCAGCATGCTCGAGTGTATGTTTGCCGTCACCGTTGACCAGCTGAAGAATATAAATGGTCCTTGCCGATCGCCAGGAAACCGTTTGGCAAAGTAGTCCTGAAGCGGAACTGAATGCCGTAGCCCTCGTCGCGCGTAGTGTTCACTAGAGTGTACGACTTGCCGCTCAGAGACATTGTCGTGCGAATTCCTGCGAATTCGTTTACCGACAAAGTTAGATATGTTGCACGCGAGATCTTTCTTCTAAACACGTTTACGCACCTTTTTCCGTATGAAGGGTTTTGAAAAGAGCGGGTGCGATAAAGTAAAAATATTAGTGGTGAATTTGTGTATTTAAAGACGAGATTTTCTAAAAACTTTTTTCTTAAGATCGGAAGAGAAGAGCTTTGCATAGTTAAGATTGTTAGCAAATTTAAAAATTTGATGGTATGTGATTTATAAAGAAACTCTATATGTCAAATGTAAGAAATAGTGCTTCTTAATTATTCTAAGCTATGTTAGTCGAAATTAAACATTTTCTTATATTTAAAAAGTGTCAATTCTTATTTGCAAATCTAATTAAAAGCATTGAAAATCGTTTAAGATA